AACGTTGGTGTATGTTGAAGAAAAAGCTCGAGAACAATCGGGGTGACAAATTTTTAACAGACTTCTTATGTGTCGCGATAATGAGGAAACTCCGTTTGCACTTAGCTACTCCAAAATGAAAAGGTCGTCAAAGGAGATTGTGAAAAAGAGTTAAAATTGTTCTTGAGCTGGAACGTTGTGCGCAGTAATGTCGGCCGAGCGAGCAAGTCCAAGCTCGGAAAGTGCTCGTATGAAATACAAAACCATCCCAGGAAAATTCACTACGGTACGCACAGCTAAATTGTGCGGTCTGATAAAAGAAGACTCACGGAAAAACATTCTCGGAACTGTAATTATGGATCATATATCTCATAGAAAAAAATATATATATATGTATAGCTACATAGAGAGAGAGAGAGAGAGAGATAGAGAGAGAGAGAGAGAGAAAGAAAGAAGTTGTAGTTGCTCGTTAGTCGACCCATGATCACTATGGTCTTAGATCGTTTACATGAAAGAAAGAGCACATTATTTTCTGCTAGAATTTTCCTGGAGTGACTGCTTTATGAGCGTCACCAGGAATATGTTTTAAGCATTTCAAAATTTTTTCGTTGTCTCTTTCTATGTGCACATTGCGATTAATTTATTCACTAATACAATTGTCCGAAACAATTTCGGTGAAAAACCATTTCAGTGAAATGGATTTCGCCTGCATCTAGGGTTTTCCGCGAAGCTCCAATAATATCTTCATTTATAAAACGCGACCGATCGTGTACAAAAGATTAAATCGCAATGGCGTCCAAACAACTATTGGAAAAATTTATGTTTTGTGTATACCCCGACCTTGTGCTGCAAGATGAGAAAAAGGAGTTAGCGGTATAGGCTTTTCCCTCGAGAGCTTTCGAGCTTACTTCACGAGATCCTTTAGTGCCTGTTTCCATTCATGAGCTGCAGGCGCGCGAGGCACTCGCACCTTCTAATTTGAATAACAGTCTCACCTTTACTATTTTCTCGCGAAGCCGCGAGGGCTACATTGTGCCCGCGGGAGTCACCCATTTGTCAGGAATCCCCACGCGAGAAGGTACAAAGAAGTACCCTCGAACGCGTGGAACGAGAAAATCCTTTATCGAGCGAACGAACACGGTGATTCAGTTCACGCAATTACGGGCAGACTGACGTGTGTTATCATTCTTGTGAACTTGCGGGAAAACTTGGTCTCACGAACTCTTCGCCAATGAAGTTTTCTCGGCTATCATGAGACCATAATGAAAATTCTGAGAACTTCGGAACATCGATTCCAGTTACGGATTAATTATTGACTAAATATCGGATAATAGGTTTCACTGAATTCTACGTTTCTGATTACGAGTCGACTTGTTACAGACGCAACGTCATATCAGCGAACTGAAAATTTCATCATGTCGCAGTATGTTGCGTGGGTGAGAAGCCACAGGCAATTTAGTTGTGCGTACTGTAGTTAAGCTGTCTTCATTGCGACAGGAAGCATGTGCATTAAAGAACGACGGTTTTGAATATTTAGATGGAGAGGTAACATGTAATACTCCGAGGCTTCATGGGACTACTCTGCAGTCTGCAGTTCCAGAATGTAAGATATATTCTCGCAGGCTTGCTCTCGTATTAATTTCACCGCGTGAATTAGCCCAAATGATACAAGCGGCGTAAATGATGAGGAGGGTTGGTTACGGTTGAAAGAGACTGAAAATAGGTGAGAGAGAGAGAGAGAGAGAAAGGGGGAAAGGATATATATATATATATACGTAATGGAGAAATAAAACCAACTAGCCTGATTGCCTACGAAAAGGAAGAAGAAATGAGACGAGCGAAAATTAGTACGAGAAGACAAATTACGATACTATAAAGAGATCGTATGAAACGAAAACGAGTGAAAATTGCCAATCCAATTGCGATAATAAAAAAGATTTACAATATTTATCACCGTAGGTAGGGGAAACACTTTTCGCTACCATATTTCGTACATATAAACCTAATACAATCGTCGTGTTGTAAGGATAGTAGAAAAAAATTTTGTATATAAGTATATTTTTATTAATTAATAATTTTTAAAGTTAAGATAGCAAAATTAATAGATTTCATCAAATGTGTAAATACAAAAATAAATAGAAAAATTATAAGAAGAAATCGTGCGTTTATACAATAATAGATTTCATCAAATGTGTAAATACAAAAATAAATAGAAAAATTATAAGAAGAAATCGTGCGTTTATACAATATATCGCACTTGAAAAATTTTGACGCTTTTGATCCCGAAAAATCGCATGTATCATATGTAGAATGGAAGACAGTTTTGCTCAGCATTTTCAGGAGAAACATAATCATCCTGGAGCGAAGCTCCTGCGAACGGAAAAACGCAACCACGGGGTTCTGGACGATCCTCTTAAACGAACGCCTGAGGGTAACTACGATCGTCTCACGCTGGAAAATGGAATCACAAGATAATAATTCCGAAATTCAATTTCACTCTTCCTCCTCGTCGAGTGGAAGATTGTAGTTGCCGGCAGTTGACTTCGTCAAAAGCGAAGGTCGCAAGAATCGAAAAGTCCTCTCCTACTCGATTGGAGGACAAAAGTGATCGCGGAATTCGATGTTGGACTTTTTGATTCTCATCGCGGTTTCATACAACGTCATGACTCTTTTATTCTCGTCTCGTACCTATATCGAATATTTTCGTGACTAGATCAAGAAGAATTTCTCAACGAGGAGAAGGAGAAATTTTTCGATCAATTTGCTAAAGCGTACTCGAGAGGTTTCATTATAATCCTTGGAATGAAACGCAGCTATTTGCCATTGGCATATCAACAATTTCCTTGATATGTGTTTCATTTTCGCGAAGCATAAAATATCTCGCGATGGGATACATATATTTATAACCCAAGTTTCATGACGTTCGATAAAGCGTAGATTCGCGGATATAAAGAAGTGCATCGTATGTTTCCATTTGCGGATGACATCTATGTTACTATGAATATATATACGTAGATAACCGTACTATTTCTTCCCATTAAATTTTCATCCCTTCTACGATAGAAGCCAAAACTGAATATAGATTGGAATTTTCTTGATTACTTACTGAAGTTTATGTTTTCTTGGACCAATAAAAATGATAGGATATGTATCTGAAAATATTTAATATAAGTAAAATTTAATATTAATAAGATTGCGCACGTAAAATGTTCCCTAAACTTTCTACATTAAAAATTATTTTTTTGGTGTAATACTTATGGCTTTATGTATATATATATATTGAGATATTTTTTTAATTATTACATTGTATTTAAAATTGTTTAATTATTTAGCTAAAAACTGAAGCATAAAATTGTATAAAATTTTTAACTTAATACTTATTTATTCAGATACAGAGAGAAATTTAAAAGAAATATAATATTTGAAACATGCACACACATATATGGTCGGTAGTATTTTTAGTCTTTTGGAGAGAAGGTAATTTTTAATTTTAAAATGTAGCGTAACATTAAACATATAAAAATGTTTAGTAAAATATATGTAAAAATTGCGGAAGTTATTTCTGCGTAAAACCTTAATAGCATAATGTTAGCATTAATACAAAAGCATAATGCGACAATTAGACGATTAAACAAGAGTCGACACCTTTTGAGAGAAACGCAAAGGAGAGGATGTATGCTTGCAAGCTCCCGCAAGCTTTTACGATATAATATATGCGAGGCAAGTCGGCCTGGTGAGAAACGAGAGAAGTTTTTTCGCTACGTTTTATGCCGCGGCTGCAAACCGCGGTCGGTTTAAGAAGAACATTAAAAAACAGTTCGCGGCTTTATTATAATTTTCAGCGTGATAACGAAAAATGTGAAACTGATTTACGTAGCTAATTTCGTTATTCCAGTTTCCATTAATGAATTAATGTGAATTGCAAAAATTTACTTTTTATAAAATTAATAACATTAAATGTGCAGTAATGTAGTATGTGCTATTTACAAACATAATTATTTTCATCATTCGCGAAGATGATTAGTTGTATTCAAATTATCAACGAAGCTATTATATCAAAGAAATTGAAAAATCAGATAGACTTAAAGTCCACTAGTTCTTTTTTTCAATTAAAATGAATCGCAGCCACAATTTTATTTCGCAAAATAACAAGTTGTTGTTTTGTATCGGAAATGCGATCAAGTATCAAAGATCAAGTATCGAAACCACAGCCATGCAAACATAATAATAAGTAACTACAATCTGGGAATCAGAGTTGAGGATAGAGTAATTTGATCCTAATGCAGTCTCGCGAGTAATGGGAGATTTCTGAAGTTACTATTAATTAATTCTGTTAATTAATCAAGGACTAGTCTCATGGCAAACAAAATGGAATGCATGAGGATGAAAGTGTTATATTTCATTAATATATCTCAACTTTGTTTATTGCTTCAGATAACAGTAATTGATCATTAACAACGATATTTGTAAGCATGAAACAATAGACTTGTTAGGAGCAAAGAGACAGGTATAAAAAAAGGTACTTTCTATTTAAAATGTTCTGTATATCGGACCTTGTCCTAGTTACTTATCTTGAAAGCAGGTTTATATATAAAACCGTCGCAAATATCCTCTCACGTAGAGCGCAAATGAAAAATTTTTTTCATTTTTTGTGACATATGCATTTTTCGTGTAACATATTTCTCGCTTAAAACTTTACGTTATTGCGTACTATGGTACGTTAAAAACGTAAATTATAAAATAATTATTTGTACACTCAAAGAGCATTTGCTAAAAATTATAAAATAATTTATTGTATGTAAAATGTTGAGTGAATAATTTAACAAAAAGTAACCCTAACTCATTTAATTTATTATTTATTTCAACCGTTAATGCCTATAATAGCAAGCTTTCAAATCCAGGCTAGTGCTTTTCCTATCTCTCCGTATGTGTTTGCAACTACTAACTAAAAATATACGCAACTGTATATTTTTTCTTATATCTTTTCTTTATTGACTATGAGACATGTTTTCGTTTTGCAGAACGGTTTGCCACCAACGTACGAGGAGTATCTTTATCACAAGAACGCGATGACGTCACGTTCGCATACTCCTCCGCCACCGTGGTCGGACTCGACGTCGTCGTCCAATCAGGCTTCGAATATCTCACGACGTGAGCTCTTGGCTAGTCAACCTGAGCTTCGCGAATATTTGACGCAGCTTGCACTAAGCGATCGTGGCTTACAGCATCAGCATCAACAACAACGACAACAATCTAGAGACGATGTCTACTCACAATCAGTCCCAAGGGTACAGGTCAGAGTGCAGAGACGTGCACGGGCAATGCCTCTCAGGTGAGTAGTCTGTAGAAGAGGCTGTAAAAACGGACCTCGGCTGTCACGTCTCATATCTCGGAGCCGGTATCGCTCGCGGAATAATTCACGTAGTTTCCGGGATGGCCATATGCGACTACGACACCGCCGGGAGTTAGCTTGGCTAAGGATGTACTTGGCTATCTCGAGACATTTTGAGGTGCTGAGAACTAGTAGCAGGTTTAAAGCGGTTTAGAAAAATGGCAGAGACAGCAATTATGCAAATGCAGAACGTCCCCAGATTCCGTCTCTACGTTCCTTTTTTGCTATAATTGCGAGCAAATTAAGAGGAAAATGGCAAGAACAATTTCGAGAGTTTTCTCGTACGTGTTACGTGTTATATACATTGTACTCGAGTAAAAATGTTTGAGAGTGTAATTGTTACACTCTTATTAATTTAATCAAGATTACATAATTTAAAGAGTAAAATACTTTTCTCTATCTTCATATTTATTTATTCTATTCTATCTATTTATTTGTTGTATATTTGAACTATTTTTGCCATGATTTCATGAACAGAAGAGCACACTAAGACTTTATTCTTTTATTTTAAATAATTTTAGTTACTAAAAGAAACATTTCCCAATTGGAAAATTGAAATATGCTTGCAGATCGCAGAGTGAAAGTCGAGCGCAACAACAACGAATCGCGGCAATGTACACGGATGCTGCGTTTTGCATGGAAACCACGGTGCTACAGTCGGCTTTCGATTCTGGGCCAGGATTTGCTCTCTGCAGCTTGATGTAAAAGGGCGAACAACTTCATTTTAACAGGAAATTGCAGAAAGGTTGATACTATCATCAATCCACAATCGAGTCCATTCCCGAATGTTTTCCTTGACAGCTCCTTGAGCTGTATTAAAGAAAGCGTTTGCGAAATCACTCGACCGTGAATTAATAATATATTAATCTATTCGCGATTCATGTATGCAACGAGATATAGTGTATTGTTGCAATGTCACGTCTCGGTGCTTTTATGAATTTAATGAATAAAGCCTCATAATTAGTTTCGATTCCTAATAGTAAAGTATCATTGCCTCATAAATATATGTGAATATGTAAGTATCAAATGGTATCTACTTGAAAGTATCTATTCTCTATAATTATTTCTTGAATGCAACCGGTATCACAATTTAGCGTACTCCTGTACGCTAGTATCTCTAGAAGAAAGACTTTAGTTTAGTTCCCTTTTTAATGCATGCCCACGCAATGGTGGTACCAACTAAAGTATGGCGGAAACGCACATATATTCACACTAAATACAAACACATTTTAAACACGCACATATATTTTACATTTATATATATATTTGCCATTTTGTGGGCATGGTCTTCTTCTAGAGACATTACTGTATGCAAAATATCTAGATATGTTCATCATTTGTAATTAATTATTACTGATAAAACTATCTGTTAATTTTTTATTTAATTTTTATAGACAATTAAACAGCAGGAAAATATATATGTATAGATATTTAAAATAACTCTTAAAATAAAGTAATAAAACTTTACAATAGAATTAATAAGCCATTTCGCAACATTTTCTATCATATATGAGTTATAAGAAAATTGCGACAAATTAGGTAAATTAGCTTTAATGAAAATTATTTCGAATGAAGAAATATGCATTATTTATTTCAAAGACTAAAAACTCGCTAAATGATGAGAGAGTTTTGATATTTAACTTGATATCCAATTTCCATTCTTCAAACAATAGTGAATCTTCCAAGCCAAATAGATCTTCCAAGCCGTTTATCTGAAAAAATGCAGTAAACAACGAGGCTGTTGAACACTCATGAAAAAGCAAGCTTTGTATTCGTAGTATAGGAAATCGGAATTTGCAGCAATATGTCATACAGTAAATTCCACTATTTTAGCATGTCCATAAAGGAAAACGGGAAACTTGATGACCCGAACCGATCAGAAACAATTGAGATACAATATATCGGATACACGATTTTGCTGTCCACTTCGTTCGGTCGCACAAAGAACAACGACAAATAATGAACGCGCTCTCATTTTTCTGGATCGGTGAAAAGACATTTCTAGTTTTTCGGACAAACGAGAGTTTCAGTTTCTACGGGTACAAACAACAGCCATATAAACAATATCATGTATTGAAGCGCCACACAGGTTTAATTTTTCAAACTCTATGGAATTTCTCTGTTGGACGGCGATTCTAGTTTGTATATTTTTTAAAAGAAAAAAACCTGAAAGAGAACTTTTTCGCGCTGAATATCATTTTAAAGAATGGAAATTAAATATTAGTCGTACATCGATTTAACATACTCTCATTTTTTAGAATTATAATTTATATTGAATCTAACTTATATATATATCAAATTTATTTTACAGTCTCATTATGAAATAGAAAGCGTTGCGGAATGAAATCCTAAAAGCGAAAATAATAGAATTTTATTTTTATCGAAAACTTTGCCGCAAATAAAATTTAATTTGAGATTTAATGATTACGATATTCAGTGTTATAAACTGAAAAGTTAAAAATTTAATTCATGTTGAATTAATTTTTTTATAATTTTACACAAATGTTGTTTCTCTCCGCAACAAATAATTAATTATACCACTTCGATCATTTCTTGGAATTTCTGATACATAGAAATAATTTTAGCTGCATTTTTTGTGTTATTTGATTTTCAATTATAACGATAGTGGGTGTAACTACAATGTAAGATAAACTTGTTAGCGAAGCTAGTTTCATTTTGTGTATATTATATACTTTTAAACTGTTATATAGTTTCAAACTGTCATTTAGAATTTAGCAGAGACAATTTATAAGTAAGCGAATGCTGTGGGCATTCGATATTTGACATACACAGTCCTAACAACATACAAAACAGAAAGTAGTATGTAAATCAAGTTGGTGTTAATCAACGTAGCGTAGCATGACGATGGGTATGCGCATCAAAGTGCGCAAGTATCGCATTAGTATCACTGTATAGGCGTAAAAAAAATAGAAAAAAAGTATGCAGTTTTAGTCACATGTGAAATTAATGCACTTATTGAGTTCAAATTAAATGTATTACGAAGGAATCTTGTGTATTGTGAACAAACTATCTTAATGTTAAAAGTCGAATGGAGAGCAAAATTAGTTAATTATATAGTACATATAAAAAGTTAGAAAGAGGGATGTGTATAGACTATCGTATATTTCGTATCGCAATTCACCGCATGTAACATAAAATCTATTTAAGGTACGGGAAGATTCTCGTTATATCGAAATTTTTCCATCGGTTTTGTAACGTTTTTCTATCGGCGAGATGTTAAGACATGCAAAACTAAGGAATGACGCTCGCCATGGGACAGAATGATATTAATGAGACTTATCTCTCTTTTCTTTTTTTTTATTTTATCTTAAGTGCATACATAAACACATATACACACATATACATACAAAACGCATTATATATTTTATATGTACATTTTGTGGTTTAATGTAAATATCGTAAAGAGTTATGTGTGTAATTCTAGATAAATATAGAGTTAACGCATAAACTGAGTACGTTGCTAATTTAATAAACGAGCGATATTGCCTTCCGACTAAAGGAAACGGAGAGTTTATTATTATTATATCGGTCTATCGACAACATATTATATTACGAACGAGCTACATCGCTATATTACCTCATACTGTATGTTATGTATATTATAAATGTGTGTTAGAGATGATTAAGAAATATATAAAATGTATTCAGTGTAAAATATTCTTTATTCTCTGTGCACTGATTATTATTTCACCGGCTCCTTATTTTATTTATCTTATCAAATAAAGATAAGTAGAAAGTCTTTTGAGAAATTAGTTATTTCGCAATACATGACATAGATACCGAACAAATTTTTTTTCAAATATCTTGCCTTAGTACTACGTACGACATATATTACCGGTGACCTCAAATGCTACAAAATTAACGTTGCCTCATTAATTTGCGATAATAACTCGAAGTTGTGAAATCCTATTATAAGTAATTACTCACGAAGATTAATTGCAGAAATATAATTAATTATGTTCGCGGACCATCTGACAGAATAAAAATCAACTTCTTATCGTTGCGCATTTATTTTCTTGATTGGTATATTTTGAAGTTCAAGAACAAAATAGTCTTTTAGCAGTGACAGATAAGCGATGACGTTCGATATTAGCAATATGTTTGTGTGATCCAATGATTTTATTGTTTTTACACTCCAGAAAGTACTTTGGCACGCGCACATGAAACGAGAGAAAGAAATTCGAAACTACGCAATCTGATCGCTATTGTAAAGGAAATAAATAAAAATAGTGAAACAGTAAATCTATAATAAATTTATCGCTAAACGTTATGAAGTTAATATACAACGTAGTTTGCATTATTACAGTAACGATTTATCGAGTTTAAATACTGATTAAAAAATCACTATCGTAATGATTTATTGTTACAAACGAATAAATAACATCGATATGAAATCGTTTTCTCTTTTCTGTTTAAAATTCTAGATATAACACTTTAGGTGTTATATAGGTTCAGTCTAAGTTTGATTATTTAAAAGTATCTCTTGCGATTAATAATACGATAAGAGAGAAATAAATTATAGAAAGTCGAAAAGCAAAAAAATTATTATATAAAAATAGGCGACACATTACTTTAAGTTATTTAACTCGTTCTCCAACCATAACATGGCTGACGAAAAATATAATAAAATCTATATAGCGTTAATGTTATAAATTAAAATAAAATCTCACACAAATGGAAAGATTTGGAAAAAAAAAGACTAACTTGAAAAAAAGAAAATGTCGTTTTTAGAAGCGACGGCAATATTACAATAACTAACTTCTGCGTAGAGTCTTCTATATAGTAAGTATACTTTTCGAAAAATTACGCTGGCTTCTATTTTTCATGTAAGATTCGATATTTTCCCGAATGCGTCGCGCTGACGACCTTCGATGATCTGATCAGATTACAATCCCGAGATCTTCAGACCGTTGGGAGTGCGAAAAAGTCTCTCTTTTGGTGGAAGCTCACCAATTTTGTACCTTTCTAAGGTTGCATTTGCGACGGCAGAGTGACCAGTTGAAATGAACGCCAAGGTCGCATCTCGTCCAGCATATTCTAGGAGAATATCCTGGCCACCTGGGTGACTGTTCAAAAACTCCGTACAATCGTATACGTAATCGTAGATCACGAGCCAGCAGTTGTCAGGAGTGTCGTGCCAGGCAACCTCGGCTAAATTGATTGTCCGAAGCTCATCGCGCGACTTTTCCTTTAGCCTGCATCTTCGCTCTCCGATAGTATCGTTTCTCTCTGTGACATTGTCACGCTCGACTTGCAAGAAGTTCTCCCTCGATGCTTGCACGTCTTCCAATTTGAGAGAACGAAGAGTTAAGTTCACGAGATCCATGCTATTGCAGCTTCTAAAAGCGCTTGTTCTGCAATACGAGTAGATTTACTTAAATAAATTTAAACAGAATTTAATTGCAATGTATTGTCGTAAGTATTATTTATAATATTTACAATCATACATGTTTTTAATTTTATGTGTGTGTGTGCGCGCACGCACAGATATTTTTCACAGTATATTTATACATGTCATCTGAATTAAACATCTAAATTTATAATAAAAATTTTTTAAGTTGACTGAAAACTAAATAAATAAAGAGAATTTAATAAAAAGTATAATTAAAAGTAAATATATATTCTGTTTAAACATTTATCAGATATGATATTACATCGTGAATAAAACAATATCAAGATAATGTTTAAAGCATTAATTTTTTTATTTTGTATTTTTCTTTGTACTCTACAATTAAATGCACCTGTTCATATTTATACATTCAAAAATACAATAAACGATTATTGATTGCTTTTCAATCGATAGAGGGCGACGGTGTTATGCTGAAGCAATATTTGCAACAGCGAAAAATTGTGAACAACTGCGCCGTTGAGACTACATCATTTTGCAAAAATGACTAGTGACAACTGAAAAATACGAGCGCGGAAGCACCGGAAATATCGATTGTATCGATTGTGGAAATAAATGGATAATCTACGTATACACACACAAATCGCGCGGCAATTTACAGCGATCATTTAAACAATCTCAGAATAACGATATATTCGGAGAATGAATGTCACACGTTAAATTCACCTACAACAACGAGCGTTTCTGCTGATGTCTATCAAGAGACATCGTCTGTAACACTGAGACAGAAATCAATTCCTCCGAGAAAGGAGAGTAATTCTATTACCGGTTGAAACCTAATGCGTGCACACACTCCGAGGTATTTTCTTGGTAACATACTCCCGTGGTAGTCGAACGTGTTGCTTAGGTACTGATCGTAATCTGCATATAAATCAGCCAAGCTCGAATAAAAAGTTGCCTCCTCTTCTTATTTGAAGAATTCCCGCCAGTGATAAGAGTGAAAGATAAGAAACGTAGATAAAAATTCAAAAATTAATGGAACTCTATTGTTGGAGAGCCTGCCACGTACTGGAGCCGTAAATCTTATACGGGCTCTTAAAAAAGCTGTGTGTTCTGATTCTCCTTTCGGCGGAGTGTAATATTAATTTCCCGTAGGAATTTTAAACAATATGACTGCCTGTTTGCACTGTTCGTAACTGAGAAAGAAAGACGTCAACACATCGCGTAAAACTGCGTCACATGAAAGCGATTCACGATATTATTTACTAATTAATTTTTATTCCACACTGATGACGATAAGCACTAACTCGTTTAATATCCGTTATACTTCTGACAAATCATTGCGAAAAGAAATGATGAAGAAGCGTATCTTTTTTTGCCGATAATATTGGAGTATTGGCAACGCGCCGGGATTGTATCAACCAACATCTTTCGATGTTTAGTTACTAATGTCAAAACGCTCAATTACAATCATCATGATATTATGCATCGAGTTTATCAGTGTTATATTAACCTTCATCAATCTTTGTCTAAGAAAAAGTCGCAGTTTTATCAAAAATTAAATATATATATGTACGTAGTATGATACATATATCTGATATACGGGGTGTCTCAAATGCTCGAAGGTCTTTTCCCCAGCAGATTCTATGAAACATTCTAAGATAAAAACCATTTATATAAAAATGTCCAGGCAACAATAGTTTTAAAATTATAAACGATTAAAGTTGTAGCGTCTGAAAATCGCGCGTTCAGAGCCGAACATCGCGCGGGATCCTTGTACATTGACTCGCTTGTTAAATATTGATACAATTGAGACAATGTTGTAAAATGTCTAACCGCCGAAATTCGGTTTCTTATTGTATAAAGCAATAATAGTTTTATCAGTTAATAACATGTCATAATAGGAAATCGAATTTTAGCAGTTAGGCACTTTTGCGGTAAACGCTTCAATTTACGTACAATAATAAAGAGATTTCACTTTTAAGTTTTGTATTTAATTGTTTAATTTAAATTATATGTAGTATTCAGCCTTTTATTACAGAATTTCAATCATTGTGTCATCGGACTGACAAAGTTGTTATAAATAAATTATGTCAAATAGTAAATTAATTTATCATATTTCTATGATAAACTAAAAGAAATTAAATGATTAAAAAAGTATAATGAGATAATGTTTTCCTACAAAACAATTGTTAACATCACATTATGTGCCCCTTCAAACCAAGCAACTTTTGTTTGACACTTTTTCTTCTATTGTTAAAAACAATAATTTTGTGTGTGTGCGCGTGCGTGTGTGTGTGTATACGCAAAATATTCACATCATTAAAATAATAAAATATTTAAATTAAACAAAAACATTTATACAATATCTTTTATAATTACAATTTATTACACGTTTTATTTTTATAATCATTATAGATCTTTTAAATATTTATATTACTACGTTTTGATTATGTCTTTTATCTATGTAAGATAAAGAATTTGTAAATACTAATGACGTGAAAATCGTTATCGTTACATTTAAAATTAAATATAAACGTATAATATATATTTTTATCTCTATTTTTACCTGATATTGAATTGATGAAACTTTTAGCATTACTTCACTAAGAACTCAAGTAACAAATTTTACAACATCGTTTAAATTGAGAAAGAAATATAGTTAAATATTAAACTAAAATTATCTTTCTGTTTATCTTTAAAAGCTTTAAAATTTATTTGAAAGTTTAATGACTTACTTCATAATTTCTTTCTATTTATTTTTAAAAAATATTCCAATTTTCGGAGTTGATTAAATTGTTATCGGTATTTTTGTGAATAAAATTACATAGTTTTTAAAAATAAATAATCATGAAGTAAATATAAATTTGTGCGAACAATTATAAAAAAGCTTGAATAAAAAATTCTTTCTTTCCAATTTCTATATTACACCAATTTTAAGAGAGGATATTTAGTACATATAATTTTTAAAATATTAGAAATTTAATCAAAATTTTATAAATTGCTCTTACATATATTCGAAAACTTTTGATAAAACTTATAGTTATGTAATTCTCTCTCTCATTGAAGCAAAGTTATAAAGATTTTAATTTGCAATAAATTTATTTAGTATCTATTATCAAAATATTAAGAATGTAACAAAAATTTTACAAATTGTTCATTATTAAGTCTAATTGTGAGTATGTAACATTTAAGCAGAGTTCTCTTATTATTTTAATTTAAAAGTTATTTAATTTTTTTTCTTGATTTTTATGTAAAGTCATAATTTGATGATAAAGTAATTTAAGTACCAGTACGTATATTTGGAGGGAAACGTATTACTGTATATCTTTTAATTAAATCAAATTATATATACACATATATATATATTATTAATGATAAAACAATAATAAGTATTCATGTAAGTTTATTTAGATTCCACTTATTCGTTTAAAAGTTTTGATCTAAAACTACAAGAAAGTATATGATCATTTTACTATATAGAACCATTATAAGTCAAACTATTTGTCATTTTGTTTTAATTAAAACATATTGCTAAAATTTCTTAAATGTGTGTGATATCAGATATATTTTTAGCAAGTTATTTGACTAATATTTTTAAATATTATTATATAGGATCTATATATAATATATACAAACTGTATATATAATATCTATATCATATATTAGATTATTTATTTATTTTTATTATTATTATAATATAGTCTACATAGATATATAGACTATATAATAGATCAGTCTATCTATATAATATCTATATAATATTATCTTTAATTTATAAATAAAAGGAGATACATGCAGATTGTATTTTGACCAGCTGCCGATATAACGGAAAATTCAACGAAATGTATTGCCATCAAGTTTAAAAGCAAGTTATCCAATAATGAAGGATGATCAAAACATTTCTAGAAATTTGATGAAATGAAATTTTTACTCAAATCCGGTAAAAGAAATTTTTATCCTATCATTTTATGGTACGTTACAACACAATTTGAAATAAAATTAACGTATGTATTTTAAATAAAAATTATTATATATCGTAGACAATAGAATAACTTTAAAGAAAAAATTATATGTCAAATTCAATCACACAAAAGTTGAATAATACAAAAGCGTGAGGAATATACGGTAATAAACATGCTTAATAAAATATTACATATATACATTTTTTATTTTTTATTATTGTTTATTTATTGTAAAAAATGAACAATCAATGTAATTACGAGGAAACATGCAGATTATCGGTTGATTGTAACGAAAAACTCGTCGATCACGCTCGTCCGACCGCCGCACCAGGGCGTAGCGATGCGATGCGAATACAAGTTTCACCATCGGCACGACGACGCCAGGCGTCGCGACGCTGCCATAATCGCGACGGCGTGACCAACAACGCGGCGTCGGCGTCGGCGTCAGCGTCGGCGGCGGCGGCGGCGGCGATAAAGGTAACGGAGGTGGCGATGCAACCAACGACGGCGGCGGCGCACTGCGAGACTGATAGTCGTAATCATGCCACCCTGACTTCACGCACATTCCCGTAAGCACGGTGCGTGCGTCGACGTCGCAGGGGAAGATTTTTTACGCATTCGCGACGAGAAGACGGTGAACAACGACGACAACGTCGGCGACGGCGACGACGGCGACAGCGAGAACGGCATCCCCAAGTACGCGCACGAGCACGAAGCAGGGAAAGGTCGACGTCGCAACGGGAGGACCGGCCGGTCGCAGACTTATCGTCCAGTTCGGTACTGTCTGCTACCATCGTAGCCAGCCCGTCTTTCCCGGTGGACGACGTCGATAGGAATGCGAGAACGGGACGGAAACGTGCACGCGGAGGTTCGCCGTGGGATCGACCCGTGTTCGCGCACGTGTAAATAAAAATTTTATTCCCAAGACAGGGAGAGAGAACGCCGCATACACGCGGTGGTAGAGCAGGTTTTCCCGTGATTCGGAATGACGCGACGTGTTACCGCGAGGTGCCCGTCAACCAGAGAAACGTCAACCACGCCATGAACGTGCGCGAACGTATACCGGTGTACGATCGAACGCGCTCGCCGCGGTCGATGATCGAGAAGGCGCTCCGCGAGTCTTATTCGCTTTCGTTGAAAAAAATCCGCGTTGCAAGTCGCGCTGGCGGAAGGATAACGTACATGTGCGTGTGGAAGCCGTGTTGTCCTCGTGACATATATTAGAAATAGGGACGCACTTGCGTGCGCCGCGAAGACGGTATTCGCCCGACGCCGCGAGGAAGCAGCGCACGCGACGAAAACGCGCGCGTATCGCCTTTTTCCGGATACGCATCTCTCGCCACAATCGCGACCGATAGGTGCGTGCTGAATGATACGGAGATACACCGGGGGTGTACGTGCGTTCTGCGAAGGTCTTAAAAAAAAAGAGCGACGAGGGTGCGAGGTGACGCCGCCGGCGCTGTACGTCGCACGTGTTACTCGGACCGAACCGGATCGATCGCCCGGAAGTGTGCTCGAACCTAAGGCTGATGCAGAGTCATATGCGTCTTATTCACCGGGTGCAAATTTTCACGAGAGCGATTTTCGCGAACGACCGATCGTCTCCGATCGCGATGACATTGTCTGCTCGAATCGATTCTACCCGTGTAAGCCAACTGTGTTTCCTCTTTGCATTACAACTGGCTTTTCCGTGGAAGGGTTGGCGATGAAAGTGAATTTATTGGTTATACCGTAGATGTATGTGCTATCATCTATGAGGACGAGTTGATTATTATTGAATTGGTGAGCATGTGTTCGACGAAGACATTCCGTGAAGAATCGGTGCTTTATTGGGAGAGGTTTGATTTGAATCTTTCGTGAATTTGAATTCTCGTTGTTGCCTGTGGAATCGTCCCGAGAGAGAGGTAGTTATCAATATATAATAATTTTCAGAAAGAGCTCGTTGCTGGTTTACTTTCTTTTTTTTTTTTTCATCAACTGGCTTCTTCTATATTTCTCTTCAT